GCCAGATAAGACGGCTTGATGAGCCATGCCTGGCTCCTCGGGTCGTAGTTTGACAACGGCTGGTATATAACGTATGTTTATAAGCAGCTCTCACGCAGATGAATGGACAAACGCGGACTCACCTTTGCTAACGTCTTCACGCTGCTGCTCGTCCGGTTGCTGGCGTTCTCTTCTCTTGACGAGAGACTGAACCGCACACAGCACTGTGTTGATGTTTGTCTCCAGCTGAGCGGAGAAGTCGGCGCAGAAGGCAGACTGGGGCTCTGAGCCATGGGGAAAGGCAGAGAATACGACAGATGAGAATTCAGGTCAAGTGTTTTGGTCACGAGCTTTACGAAAAAAAAAATACAATTCAGAATATAAAGTAAAATACGACTCTCTTTAAAATGTATTTTTATTTACCCAAACCTTTCCATACCAGGTCCCCCCAAACTTAGCATTAGCTTCGAGCCGCGGACCCCCCTTTACGAACCCACGGGCAATGCTACAAAATACTTAAAGAAACCTTTAGAATCTATTGTCTTATTTTTTTTACTACTCAGTAATTATAACATTGGTTTAGCATAAGAAAATGATTAATGAATTATTAACTAATCTAAGTAATTAACTAATATACATGCTAGCTTGAGGAGCATAGCAGCTAGATAGCTAGCTAGATAGATAGCTAAATAGATAGCTAGATAGCTAGATAGATAGCTACTGTAGATAGCTAGCTAGACATCTAGCTATTTCATTTTTGCGGACAAGCACAAAGTGAAGGGAGTTAGCTTCGGAGTCCATAATTTATCGCAAAGAAAAATGAAAGATAACAGGCAGAAACTACCAGGTCTACCGTATCCATAATTTATCGCAAACATAACAGGCAGAAACTACCAGGTCTACCGTAGTCATGCCGAAGTTGCAGCTGTTACATAATCACGCATTACCGGAAAGTTGAGAATCCGATAACAGCAGTATACATGTTGTTAATTAAAATAAATTATTACCGGAAAGTTGAGAATCCGATGATTACAGTAGTATACATGTTGTTAATTAAAATAAATAATATATGAAGTATTTTCTGACGTTCCCCTAGCGCCCCCTACTTTGAAGACCACTGACTCAGGACATATTTTCATATTTCATTTTCAGCCTTCAACCCCCGGTGCATTGCAAAACAGTCACTTCCATCACCTGTCGGCTGGTGTCCCAGTGACAGCATCTGTATCTTCCAAGTGGTGAACTCGGTGACGCTGCCCTCTACCTGTCCCCTGACGTACTTCAAGCTCTGAGTGATGGCTGGCTGGACGTTCGTGTTAGAGGAACAGACAGCAGGGTTGAAGAGCTGTTCCACGCCGGGCATCTGAGCAGCCACGTCCTTCAGCTGGTCGAAGCTTGAACAGCACATCGCAAAGTGGTTCCTGTGATATAAAAAAGTTAGCGAATTAGCCTGGACTGTTTGATATATTTCACACAAACAAATATTTATTTCTTGCGTTTTACCATGTGTGCAGCGCTCTGTCACAGCTCTGCCGGGCCGCAGCGTCCAGCTCCGACTTGGCGCTCTCACTTTGCTCGAGCATCGAAGTCACGCGTTGGTGGATCTGACACCAGGTGGCGTCTTCCCTCCTCATCAGACAGCCGGCAGGCTGGCGGTGCGCGGCCAGTGGGGACGGACAACTCAGGGTGTGCTGCCCGCAACTGCTTTTCTCTTCTTTCTGCTGCGGGTCCTCGGGACAGCACTGCAGCGTCCAGCTGAGCTGCTGCAACAGAGCGGTGCACTGGGCAGCCAAAGCCTGCCCTCTAGTGACCCAGCTGTGTAGAGAATCCTGAGGTGGGAAGGCACATCCTGAAGCCACGTCTTCACTCTGGCCCTGGAAACGCTCCTTGATGTCCATCATGCTGTTTGTTAGCCTCCTGAACGTGGCGGCAAAAAAAACAGACTTTTTTTTTTTACCGTAATTTATGGACTATAAGCTACTACTTTTTTTTCCCCACACCTTTTAAACCCTCAGGCTTAAACAATGATATGGCTAATTTTTTTCATTTTTGCGGACAAGCACAAAGTGAAGGGAGTTAGCT